GAGAGAGGAAGGGTGAGAGGAAGGACTCTAAGCCAGAAAACAGTGAAAAAGGAAACTTTTTATGGAGAGAGAACATCTGTAGAGACATGAAGAAATATTACAGACGCTGATTAATAAAAATCCAGAGTCACAGATGGGCTACAGAAAAAAAACCCTAAAAGAGACTCTCGTCTAATTTTACCTGAACCTCAAACTGAGAGCGCACACGACTCCTGAAGGGCTACAAAAAGTCATATTCACAGAAAAATGATGAGTGAGGCTCGTTCTGTACACAGGTGTGTCGCACCTTTCTTTAAATCGATCCTTAGTCTTCGTCCTCCTCTCTTATTGGCCATCAAGCTAGAGAGGGCGGGGCTTTTCTTCAGGAGGGGGCTCTCACTTTTCCCCTTCGGGGTCTATTTGAAAAACAAGCAGCAGTAAATTCATTGTTTCACATTTCAAAACCCCAAACAAGAGTGTGGCATTTATTAAACAATATATCTGTTACAGCAAAGTCTAACACACACTGGTCACCTTGGAGTCGCCGTAAAAGCAGCTCATAGAAGCTGCTTTAAATTTAAGATGTTAAACATCAAACAGGTGAGAAAAAGATCTAAACGTGCTGGAAAAAAAACAGTATCGATAAAGTCTGCGTACGGACGCGTGCGAGTCTGGGGAACAGTCCATCACATCTGCATGACAGGAAAAGATAATCAGCTGCTGCTAAGAAACTGCTGCCGCAATGCCAGCTGTTTTTAAATGTCAGCCATGTCACCATGGTGATGCTGACGACAAAGTTACATCCGTTTGTGTTTTAGGACTTGATCGTTGTAGGAAGGAGGTCAAAATAACATGAAGTTTGAACCCGTTTCTACAATTACAGCATCTAAAGAATTTAAAGCAACCCAAAAATAAAAAATAGTACAGGGAGTGCAGAATTATTAGGCAAATGAGTATTTTGTCCACATCATCCTCTTCATGCATGTTGTCTTACTCCAAGCTGTATAGGCTGGAAAGCCTACTACCAATTAAGCATATTAGGTGATGTGCATCTCTGTAATGAGAAGGGGTGTGGTCTAATGACATCAACACCCTATATCAGGTGTGCATAATTATTAGGCAACGTCCTTTCCTTTGGCAAAATGGGTCAAAAGAAGGACTTGACAGGCTCAGAAAAGTCAAAAATAGTGAGATATCTTGCAGAGGGATGCAGCAGTCTCAAAATTGCAAAGCTTCTGAAGCGTGATCATCGAACAATCAAGCGTTTCATTCAAAATAGTCAACAGGGTCGCAAGAAGCGTGTGGAAAAACCAAGGCGCCAAATAACTGCCCATGAACTGAGAAAAGTCAAGCGTGCAGCTGCCAAGATGCCACTTGCCACCAGTTTGGCCATATTTCAGAGCTGCAACATCACTGGAGTGCCCAAAAGCACAAGGTGTGCAATACTCAGAGACATGGCCAAGGTAAGAAAGGCTGAAAGACGACCACCACTGAACAAGACACACAAGCTGAAACGTCAAGACTGGGCCAAGAAATATCTCAAGACTGGTTTTTCTAAGGTTTTATGGACTGATGAAATGAGAGGGAGTCTTGATGGGCCAGATGGATGGGCCCGTGGCTGGATTGGTAAAGGGCAGAGAGCTCCAGTCCCACTCAGACGCCAGCAAGGTGGAGGTGGAGTACTGGTTTGGGCTGGTATCATCAAAGATGAGCTTGTGGGGCCTTTTCGGGTTGAGGATGGAGTCAAGCTCAACTCCCAGTCCTACTGCCAGTTTCTGGAAGACACCTTCTTCAAGCAGTGGTACAGGAAGAAGTCTGCATCCTTCAAGAAAAACATGATTTTCATGCAGGACAATGCTCCATCACACGCGTCCAAGTACTCCACAGCGTGGCTGCAAGAAAGGGTATAAAAGAAGAAAAACTAATGACATGGCCTCCTTGTTCACCTGATCTGAACCCCATTGAGAACCTGTGGTCCATCATCAAATGTGAGATTTCCAAGGAGGGAAAACAGTACACCTCTCTGAACAGTGTCTGGGAGGCTGTGGTTGCTGCTGCACGCAATGTTGATGGTGAACAGATCAAAACACTGACAGGATCCATGGATGGCAGGCTTTTGAGTGTCCTTGCAGAGAAAGGTGGCTATATTGGTCGCTGATTTGTTTTTGTTTTTGAATGTCAGAAATGTATATTTGTGAATGTGGAGATGTTATATTGGTGTCACTGGTAAAAATAAATCATTGAAATGGGTATATATTTGTTTTTTGTTAAGTTGCCTAATAATTATGCACAGTAATAGTCACCTGCACACACAGATATCCCCCTAAAATAGCTAAAACTAAAAACTACTTCCAAAAACATTCAGCTTTGATATTAATGAGTTTTTTGGGTTCATTGAGAACATGGTTGTTGTTCAATAATAAAATTATTCCTCAAAAATACAACTTGCCTAATAATTCTGCACTCCCTGTATATGTAGCACTCGAAATAACAGACCATGGGAAATATGGTCTGTCTTTAAGGGGGAGGCTGGAGAGAAGTTAGCACTCGCTCTAGAAGGAAAGGTGAGGAGACCGAAGCTCAAGCCCGGGCTGTATTGTGTATTGTGCTTGTCTGTGCACACATTAATCATTAAAACTGCAAACTTTTTACAAAGCGTGCACGACAGATGCAAAGTCTGTGTCAGTCTGTGGATGTGCAGCAGAGGAACTTACACTGAAACCCGGCTCGAGGCCGGCCGTCTCTTCCGCCAGCCGCACGGCTGAATTCTCCGAGGGTTTAAACACAGGTTTGGCTTTGACAGGGGGCGGAGGCTCTTTGGTGTTTCGGGGGCTGCCGGTGGGACCGGTATTATTGCCAAACAGCTGACCAATCAGACTCTTCTCATAGCGCTCTCTGTTGAAAGAAGGCACGACTTCCAGGCGTACAACCGGGGAACGCATCGCCTGACGGAACACATCCTGAGATCTGAGAGGACGAAAACGAGGAGAAAGTTTTACTTCAAAGTTTGTAGCACATTACGTGCACAACAAGTGGCACACGCTGAACATTAAAAGGAATCATGTCATTAATCACAATTACACAGGAAGAGCAGTTATCCATCTATGACACAAAAACTAATTACTGAAGGGTAGATAACTCAATCAGGAGAAAAATACAAAAAGACACATGGTATAAATAAGATTATGAATGACAAAAAATGTCAATTAATTGGTAATTAATATAAATGGGATATCTGATTTTTGCAATAGGATCATTCATCTTAAAAGACTAACTTTCATTTCTAAGACTGGCTGGTGCTGCTCTGACAAGTAAGCAAAGAAAGCTGATGTATAATCAGCTAAACAGGAGTTTAAACTAATGGCAGATTTTATATTTCTGTGTGCAAAGGTTAATTCTGACATAAAGACATTATAACCTAACCTGAAATATAACATCCGCACATTTTACAATGTGCCACTGCTTACTGCTGGCTGTTCTGTGCATCTCTTAATGTTTTTCTCAGGAGTAAGACAGGAGACAACACCGAGCCATGACACCTGTGCAGAAGGCCATCATAATCTCATGATCTATAAAAAAAACAGCATTTTGCAGAGGATTCGTCTACATCAGATCCCAATAAGTACGTTAGGGGAACGGTTGTGTCAGAAGCTGCAGTACACACCATTATTCTCCTCAGATAACTGACAGAGCAAATCCAGTTTATTAGCATTTTATTGGGTTACACACGTATCGTTTCCCTCCCAGATTACGAGCGCATTATAATGATTAGAAATAACCGTAACCAGACACTATGTTTAGAAAGTCCTGTGTGGAACCTAATAAATCACGTATGGAATTATAATGATTTTTTAACTACTTAAAGATCCACTCAGGTGGGGGAGTTTCCACGTAGAAGACTCAATCGATAAATCAATAAAGAGTCAGCCGTCATGGAGTACACTCACTGAAACACCTGCGTTCTTATTTATTTAGTTATCTTACTATGAAAACATCCAATCTGGGACAGCAGTGCTTAGATTGTCACAGCCAGAGGCTCGGTTTATAGAACAATAAAGATCAAAATTAGGAAATTAAAATGTGAACGGCTGACGGGGTTTCCTGGGATCTCATTTCACACCCAGTCGTCTTTCCAGACTTAAGGCCGCCACCTTTATGTCCTGAGTGGGGAGCGTGTGTCACCGTCTCCCACACTGCCGTTGGTCCTGCCCCCAAACTGCACAAACACGGTTCATCAGTCCTCTGAGAACCGCAGAAAATCGTAAAAGCTGCGACTGATTTCGGTGCCGTTACTCTTTGGTCTTCCACATACTTCAATCCAAAACAAACATCAGCGTTCTGACTTTCTGTGACTGCAGAAATATACAACTTCAGTGGACCTCCCACAGTAACATTAAAACACTTCCCACTGGACTTCCCGACACGTCCACGCTAAAGATGTGTTAGTGGGAATGTGTCTATGATATGTTGTCTTCCTGTGCTGGGCTCTGAGGAAATATTATTTTTGCTCTGTTGTTGAAAATTAAAACCACAGTTTGATGTTTTTTTTCTAAAAACATCTGGGAACACCTTTTTTTTACGAGCAACCTCAGACGCAGCCGTGAGACTGGCTGCTGCTAACACCAGAGAAACCGCTCTGTGCAGCTGTGCTCAGCAGACCAACGTCTCAGAAAGCACAGCACGATGACCACGCCCGGCTGTGTGAATATCATTGCTGTTACAGGGTCAGTGCTTTGTCCTCCATCACTGCGAGTCTGCTCCTGAGTGCAGGGAGCAAAGGTCACTAAATCTGGTGTGAAGAAGCTCAGTTTCCACTGATAAAGTCAGATTTGGCAACAACAGCATGAAAACTTGGACTCCACAGTCACAGCTGATGGTGGGGGTCTACGTGCTGAGAATGTTTTATTGGAACATCTCGGGCACTAATATCAAATCTATCATGGTACCAATTAAAAGCCTTTATGGATATTTTTGCTGACCACACCGATTTCTTATTGCCGTCTACTAATGGACACTTTCAGCATGTCACAAAGAAGCAGTACTGTCAAACTGGTTACACTGGTTACTGTGAACCATATCTGATATCAGGAGCTCTGCAGCGTAAGTGCTCAGCTGATAAAGCCGCATAATTTTCAATATAGACCAACATCTCAAAGGTGGCTTCCAGCATCTTGTTAAATCTGATAGCTAATGTGAGAGTAGGGCAGGCCCACACCACGTTAGAGTCCCCCTCTGTGAATACATACATGTGTAATACACATTCACGGCAAACTGACTGAGCATCATATCTGCCAGGACACAAAATCACAGAGACTTCACAGGACATCCAGGAGAGCTGAACATGTCAGTTCACTCATTCAGAGGGAGTATTGTAATATTGAATCATACTAATTATTAAAGTCTCTAATATTAGCAAACATGACCATAAAAGTAGACCTTTGTAGCCCTCATGCCTGCTGGCGGATCATGGAAATCTATGCTTTTATATTATTATTACAAATGTAAATCCAAAGGCCAACATCTGCACGGTGTACGACACAGGAAGTGAGTGGATGTGTGGGCTAATGGGCGCAGGACGCCACCACAGGGCAATGGCAGTGGATATGATAGCTGTGTGTGTGTGTGTGTGTGTGTGTGTGTGTGTGTGTGTGTGTGTGTGTGTGTGTGTGTTTGCATTGGAAGCATAGTGGACAGATGAGAACATGTGCATTTGAGTAAAAAAGATATTCTAATTAAGCGGACTTCCCCTAAAACAGCTGCCAGACAGGGACAATGAAAGTGTGTGTGTGTGTGTGTGTGTGTGTGTGTGTGTGTGTGTGTGTGTGTG